CCCCCCCCCCCCCCCCCCCCCCGCACATATTTTGTTTAACCATGTTTTTCCTTAAATGGTTATTAACGCTGTTCTTGAAACAGGAAGAGTTGAACAGTTTGTACGGACCACATGTCATACCCAAGCCAGATTGTAATGGTTTTACAGATCATCATGAGCAAGCAAGGGATGATGAAGGTAGTAGTGGTTAAAGATGGCCTATTGCACAGTAGTAAGATTACCACATGATAAAATAAGACCTTGGCTAAGGGCACCTCATATTTTCACCCTGCCTTTCACCTCACCTTCTCAAAGACATTTACAGACACCTATTACTATTCAATGTCTATAGATATCTGTGATAAGGTTGGGGTGAAAAGCGGTGTAAGAGTTGGGATGATTTTAGGATTTACCGTTGAAATATGTTCCGACATCCCGGGGAGCACGTGTCCCGAGAGTCGTTTTTCTTTTTAGGGTTTTAAAAAAGAAAAAGAAAGTGAGGGTCATTATTATCTGCTGTCCCTAGTGATTAAAATTAATCACTTATACAAAACCTCAAATTACATTTGGTGTACTACTGTGCACACATCTGGTTCAAATGTTTAAGATTTCATGTTGTTGTAAAATTGACAGTGATAGTGCTAATAATCATTGCTGACTGAAGGAATTCATTGGCTGATTGCCTTTAAGGCTATGTTCACTTGGATGGAAAGGTAAGAAATTGTGATGAATGGATATGAATATGAATGGAAAGGGAGATGAAAATATGAACTGTGCTTGGGGCATCCCACCTTACAAAGATGCAGACATATACTCTAGTTGTTACTGTTTAATATTTGTGGTGTTAGAAGCTAGGTTTGAGGGAAGGAAAATTATTGGAGTACCCCAATAATTCTAAACCAAAAGCAAACACAGACGTTTTATGCCTGTGTTTGTCTTTGGTGTACAATTTTGGGATATCCTTAGCATTCCCCTCAAGGGAAAGATGGAACGAGAATTGGATGACAATTTACTTTTTTCGATGAACTATAGAAAGAAATTGAGTGGTAAAATTGAGAATAAAATTAGAAATTGGTATGAAATTTGTAAGAAAATTAAAAATTGAAGCAATCACCATTACAAAAGTATTCATACATTCATTCACTGATATGTGAAATTGGCGAAATGAGTTTTTTTTGTGAAGCTCCTGTTTCCTTTGCTCTCTTTCTATGTCTGGTTTGTGAATTTGTGTGATAGGGAAAGTAGGAAACTACTTAATTTATTGATATTAAATTCATATTATAATATTCCGTATATTTTTCCATCATTAATGACCAAAAGCTTAAAATATTGAGCAAGAAATCCAAAATAAGCAAAACCAAAGTAGGGAGTACAACACTTTAAAATTAGTGTCTAGCCAATGAATTTTCAACATTATATTAATGCAACCAAACAGACTTAATAAAGTTAAAAAAACCAACTCGCATAATCATCATCCATATAGTTATTCCATACATAAAAATTATGTTGAGTTTCAATCTTTTGAAATCTCCCAACAAATTTATCTCTCAAGAAAATTGAAATTTTCACAACCATTGGCCACATATTAGTAATATGACAAAGTAAAAGGTTTGAGAATTTCACTACCAACCAATCCCTCGTTTTTTTATAATTAATTATTATGATTTTTGTGATATGTTATTGTACATTTTGTTATGTATCAATAAAATCATAATAATCAATTATAAAAATGGAGGAAACATAATTATCACCATCATTTTCTTAGCTAAAAATTAACTAATGACGATAATAAATCTACATTGAGTTATTTTAAACGAGTTTAATCCAACAATTAGCTTGTAACCCGTATATGAAAACACTATTTATGTATCTCATCCTTTGATACTATGAGAAGTGGGTCCATCACCTCCAAGCTGACGTGGCTACAAGGGCCCGGTCGTTCCAGCAGAGCAGCATTTCCGCCTGCCTCTTTGCCACGTGGAACCCTCTGACTTGTACCCTGCCAAGTAAGCACTCCGCCTGAAAATCCGCGAACTGGCTCAAAAGAACCGGCCTGAAACCCGCTGCCACAAAAGCCTCCCTCCACGGCGTCCCACGGCGGCCTGCCGCCCCCACCATTTCCATTATCTTCGGGTACAAGACGTAAGTCTCGATCTTCTTCAGCCAGTCTCCGCCGCCTCCGCCGCGGCCAACGTTCGCCGCCGCCTCCAGCGACTCCAACAGCGTCGAGTAAAACTCCAGCCCTTCGATCACCGACTGCCGGAACGAAGACGTGCCGAACCCCACGAGCCCCTCGCTGTCCACGTGCACCACCACGTGCGGCGAAATCCGGCGGAGATCGGCCACGAATCCCGCCCCGATTTTCCTGAATATGTACGGAGACAAAATAACGGCCGTTTTCTCTCCGTCCATAAACTTGACGGCCTTGAACGACAAAAGCTCAAACGTGTTGATCAGCACGAAATCGATCTCAAAAGCGGCCAAGTTCAGATCCCGAGCGAACTGAGTCAAATTCTCTCGGATGAGTCTCGACTCGACGGCGTATTCGTCCGGGACGAGAGCCGTTATCCGGAGAGCCGGCGGCGGCTTGGCTCGAGCCGACAGATCGGCGAGCTCTTTCATGAAAGAAGCCCAGTGGCCGCCGAGTCCGATGTCGAAGTCGATGACGTGGACGAGCGGGGAGCCGTTCACGGCCTCGAGGACGGCTTGATTCGCCGTGAAGCTGGAGAACATGGGGACAGGGGAGATGTTGGAGAAGATGTTGTAGGCCTTGATGGTCTGGACGATCTCGGATGAACCGGGCCGGGTCGCCATCCGAGTCGACCAGGTGAGCAGAGACTGGAGAGATTCCTTGAAGTAGAAGGCTGCTCGCTCGAGCGGCTTTCCGGTCGGAGATCTCAGCTTGTGGTTGAGCCGCGCCAGTATCACCTGAGCCAGCTGGGCCGCGTCGGTGTCAAAGCAGTCCGCGAACCGGATCAGCTCGTCCACGTAGTCAAACGCCGTCAAGTTCCAGCTGGCGTCATCGGAGAATAGGAACTGGTGGTTGTGATCAGGAGGAGGAGGCGGAGGAGGAGGAAGGTTCTGGAAGAACTGAAAATCAGCTGGGCCGAGCGAGTTCTGGGCGAGTTGGAACTCGGAGAACTGAGTCGACTCGGAAGGATTGTTTTGATGATCATGAGTCGGTTTGGCTGTTGCGATGAAGTCTTCCCCGCCGGACTTGAGCCCCAAGTCTTTCATCAAAGAGTCCCACTCTTCAAAGTTGGCCAGAACATGATCGGCCAGCTGGAGAGGGTCGTCGCTGTCCAACGACGGACGGACAGGGCTGCGCCGGAGCTCGAGGACGGACTTGGGTTCGTAGCTGGCGGCGGCGGCGGCGGTGGTGGTGGTGGCTGTTGCTGTCTTGGAATTCACGCTCTCATTACAAGTAAAGGACACTTTCATGTCTTCACTGAATATGATCAAATAAAAGCAGGTAATAACTAACTTAACAAGCTCTTTCGATCTTGTTATAATTAGCTTCTTTCTACTTGTGCTTTAATTGGCTCTGAAATTTATGGGGAAAGAGACGTAAAGGAGAAGAAGAGGAAATGGGGAAAGGAAGGTCGTCTTTCTTTCTTTTGTTTACTTTAGGTGCGGGGTGGGATTGAAGGAGGAGGTATGATGTGTGGCTTTTTATCTTTGCGTGTGGGTGGACGTATGTGCGCGCTACCATTGCTTTACATGCATATGTATGTATATATGTATGATATGTATGTATATATATATAGATGTATGAATGTGCATGCATATAAAGGAGGTTAGTGGCATGGCATGACCTGTTAGGGAATAATTATAGGCTTAGCCCATAGGTGTTGGCTTATTATTGATCATATCATTTCTTCCCTTAAATCTTACTTTAATTAGTAGTCTCCTTCTCATAGTTTTCTTTCAAAATTATTGATCATAAATGTTATCTTCAAAATTGTACTCTATATGTCTATTAATTTCTTTCTTATTTTTTTCAACGAAGAATCAGCTTCACAATCTACGAAAAGGACAATCGTCTACCAACATGTTTGGATGATGTTCTTAAACTTGTTAGTGTGCTCGCTCTTGTTCGTGAAACTATACCTGAGCAGGATATCATTCTCAATGTTTTACGAGGTCTTCCTTAGGAATATACCTCTATACAGAATATCTTCACCAATCTTGCTCATCTCACATTTAATGAAGTCTCTACCTCGTTACTCTCCAAAGAGTTGAATCTTCAACTCGAACAAATTAAAAGCTCCATCTCAGAATTAACAATCCTAAACAACTATATCAATACAGTGACATATAACATACAGATGTCCATGTAAGCATGGACTATATTCTTCCAGGTTCCAGCTAAAACTCTCTCGATTGTAGGCCCACTATCGGTTAACTCATTGAAGACAACATTTCATCAGTAATATTGTCGTCTTGGTCATTCATCTTTTCAAATCACCAGAATTTTTTTCTAAATTTGTTCTTTTTTTCATATGTCTTTCATTGTGACTTTTGTTCTATGTCAAAGTCTCATAAGTAACCTTTTCTTTATCTAGTATTGTGACTACTACATCATTTTAATTAATATATCCTGATCTTTGGTGTCCTACATTTACCTCTTCGTTTGGTGGTTGTCATTTTTATACCCTCTCAAACATAAATCTCATGCCTATAGAGCTTTTCAAAGTTTTCACTCTATGGTCAAAAATCAGTTTGAGAAAGACATTGAAATTTTTTGAACTAATAATGGACATGAGTATGTTAATCATAAATTTGGTCTTTTCTTGCGAGAACTGAGGGTTCCATAAAAAATCTCACCCTTACGCAACAGAGCAAAATGGGATCTTGAGTGTAAACATATACATCTTATTGAAACGGTGGTGACCCTCGTGTACACCTTTTCCCTTCTTTATGCGACGTCAGTGGAAGTCCTGGCAATTGCTAGAGGCATTGAGTGGGCTTGGGAAAAGGGTGTTAAGGAACTTGAGGTTCAGACAGACGCGAGTGAAGTTATAAAGTGGATGGCCGACTACACTTCTCTTAGGGGCCCTAATCGCGATATCATTGATGAGATTAAGCATAACTGGCAAAGAAAGTTTACAAGGCTTGAGTTCAAAAACATCTTTCGAGAGCAAAACTTTGCGGCTGATCGCCTTGCTACAATTGGAACCTTTCAGGAGGCAAATTGGATAGACCACGAGGACCCTCCGCTTGGGATTATGACATCATTGCTGATGACATGATGGGTGCTACCAGAATTCGTAGAGTGCACCTGAGTTAGTTTGGGGTCTCCCCTCCTTTTTTATCCAAAAATCGCATGTCCAAAAGCTCTCTCCATAATAAATTCTCTTATGAAGTCTTGTGACGCCCCGAAATACACTTTAAGATTATTATTAAATTCTTGTTCAATTAAATAAATTTATTTTGATTAAAATAATTTGTTGTTGAAATAAATAGAGATAAATCTAATATGTTGATTTTATTTGTGATTTTGATTGGAGATTGGAGTACAAACCCAAATTAAAAATAAATAAAGAATTTGATTTATGATGTGAACTTTGAAATGATCTATTGAAATAAATTATGAAAATAAATAATATGTATTAAATGTAAGAACCTTTTTGAATAAAGATCAACTAAATCAATTTTAACTCTATCAAAGTCAAACACCCAAAAATATGATGTTAGAAAAGTATTTCAAATAAATATTAAAATTATATCGTTGAATAAAGTTTGACTATATCTTGTTGCAACGGTGCAAACCAAATTTAATTTGCAGAAAGTTAGACCAAAAAGTGTACCTCGATTGGGACAAAAATTACACACACACACACAAATATATATATATATATATATATACATATATATATATATATATATATATATATATATATATATATATATATATATATATATATATATATATATATATATATATATATATATATATATATATATATATATATAGGGGCCGGTTCCCGTGAGAATGCACCTTGTGGAGAGAAATGAGAATAAAATCTAGCCGTCGGATCTGATGCATTGTGCGGCTCAGATTGCATCATGCGCTCAGATTTTGAGATACTGCATTTTCGAAGGTTTATGGTGCATTTCGACGTGATGCATTTTCGCACCATTTTAGTGCATCTAATTTTGATGAAATCTTGACCCTTAGATCTCGCAATTTAAAGCACCAGATTCATTCTCATTTCTCTCCTAAGATTGCATTCTCACCAGAACCTATATATATATATATATATATATATATATATATATATATATATATATATATATATATAGATGGAAACAAGGTGTGACATGGGAGTAATATAATGAGTGGTGACGCAAGATTCTTCGGAGATGATCAATAGGATCCTGGGGGACAAGAAGCATCTCGATCTATACTTTTTTTTTTATTATGTATGATCGATCGATCGATGGGATCAGATCAGAAGAAAATGAAACCCTCTCTGATCTTCCGCCTTAGCTTCCTCCCTCCCATCCCATTATTCCTTCCTCTGCATGCCTACCCCATCCATGCCATTTCACTACTCCACTCACGGACTCACCTTTATATTTATACTAGTATTTTAACCCGTGCAACGCATGGGGTTAGACGAAATTTTTGACACTTCTGTAAATTAACTTCAATGCAATATTTTAACTTGAATTTATAAAAAAATATATAATATGTTTTTTTATTACTAAGACATTAAAAACAAAATAAAATAAATAATTTAGTATTAAATATTTTGTAATGAATATTCTTATATTCAAATTCAAAAGTGAACATCTCAAAGATTTTCTAAATCTATATTTTGAAAGACTTTTGGGTATATAACAATTTTGGTGTAGTTGCAAGGATTTTCGTTATCATATAAAACTAATATTTTTAATTCTGTCTTTCTTTCTACTCGCGAAACATCACTGCAAGTTGATCATAAGTGAACACCGAATTAGTTAAATATAATCCAACAAATGATAATGTTTGACTTTGACTTTATTAAAAGTCATAGCAAAACATAAAACATTGGGAATTGTCTTTTCTAGAATTTTAAGATTAATTGTAGATCAGATGGTACGAAATTCATTCTAGGTATGTAAACATTTTTCTCGACCCGTTTTTTCAAAATCACAATTGCACCGATAACATTATTGCGTAGCTCTTCAGCGATTAGTCTTGTCTCATCACACAATTCAGATATTTGGTCAATGTTTCTCAATAGCATATATAATCGGTAGCCCTTTTTTCAAAACTATTTTATGGCTTGAGATTCTCGAATATTTGATTTCATTTAAAACTCAATTGTTATTCAATCGACATGAACACCTACATCTCCATTTCCTTCGCATGAAGAAACAGAAT